GTCCTGAATCATCCTGCCACATTAAAAAAAAAAACAAACAACCAAACAACAAAAGCATAAACAACCAAAGTTAGGCTAAATAAGGCTTAGAAGTTCAAACCATGTAGCCTATAGGTAAAACAGATAATCAACAGCCAAGATAAAGAGCAGCACACAAAGAGCTGCATTAAAGGTGAGCTCTCCTGATTTCTAACCCAAGAAGATCCCCTTTGGGAACAGTGTGGGATCCTCTCCCCTAACACTGAAATGAAGGTTGTACTGAAAGCTCATGATCCAACCTCATTTTGCTTTGCACCCTGCAGAAGTTAAAGAACCATGACAATGTTTAGTCATTTACACCTGGTAAAATGCAACCCACTCTGCCATTTTCCACCCACAGTGCCCAGCTGCAAGGAAGACAGTCAAAGAACCAGGTTTCATAAGTTTAAGTAAGTCAGGCCCAAGAGACCTTGATCTCTCAGGCTGGGCGTACCGTGCTCATGTGCAGGGGGAGGTTCTCAGTGTCTGTCTGGTCGTCTTGCTCAGATGAATCTGTTTCTTCCATTTGCTGCATTTCCAGCTCAGAGGGGAGAAGAGCTGTCAGGTAGGGTACAGTGAAAGGCCTGGCAGCAATCACTAGCGTTAGGGAAAAGAACACAATCAGCAAGCTAGGAGAAGACTCCTCAAGTCAGAGATTCTGAAGCACAAAGCCAAGCAGTTTCTTAAGACCAAACACTTTCACTGGTTCTGGTTTTAAACACACACACTCTTTACCTGCTCCTCCCAGGGATCAGGAATGAACTATGCTATTCCTAGAAGATGGCAGTCTTTAATTTCCTGTTTTCTGAGGCCAAGTACACAGCATTCTACTAACACAAAAAAATTCTTCCTGGCCTCCATGAACGTTCAATTATCTCACAGGTTGAAGCATCACTTAGTCCCCCTTAAGATAACACTGACATCTGTGCTGCCAGCGAGCCCTGGGAAGGTGGGAATTCTCATCACTGCTTTGCAGACAGAGAAACAGGAGAACCCTCACTGCCTACCACAAACATGTAAGAGAGGAGAAGCTACTTGTTTAGAAGTTATAAGAGGGGCAGAGACAGAATTGGGATGAGCTTTGAATTTTGCACCTATCAGCCAAGGCCTTTTCCACCATCAGAAGAAAATGAGCCTTTGATGATGATGGAAGTCTACCATTTGGCTGGTTTTCATCCCCATTTCAAATAGAAAATTCCCCATTTCCCAGCCTTCCAGTGCCTCAGAAGGGCAAACACAATGCGATAATTCAGTGCACACCTCCCGCAGTAGCAAGAACCCTAACGGAGTGTATACTCAGACAGCTGTCATTTACAGCACAAAGTGTCCTAGGTAACTCACATGGGAACGTGCTGACATCATCTTTGAAAAGACTCTGCGTTTCTCCCGTCTTCGCCATGAAACGTGTGAGAGCTCTTTCTACATCGCGCCGTTGCGATGCTGCCTTTTCCCGCAGGACTTGATAATCAGATACTGGCTCCCGGTATGTCTGTGGAGCAGGGAGGAAAAAAACACACCACCATTAGTCGATGCCATGCAGAGAACTGAAGTTCAAAACACTGCTAGGACGCAGATGCTACAGGCGAGCACTGACCTTCAACATGCACAGATTTTCAGAGAGCTACAGATGTCAATCAGCCAGAAATCTACAGCAAGGGCAACCCATAAACAATTAAGCCAGGAGAAGTTTTGGATAAACAGTACCAGCACTGCAGTAAAAATACTTAGACACCACTCCTGGTGTCATTGACTTCAAACAGCCCCAAATGGCATAAAAATCTTTTTTCACTCACTGGTGTCTTGATGTAAGTGTGAGGATCTGGAAACTCAGGGAAATGGCCAGGAATGTGGGATGGATGGGGCTTGTTCTGTCCAGCTGTCAGAGCTTTGGGAGTCACGGGCTGGTTTGTCACAGGAGCTACAGTTAAAAAACATGCACATATACAAATCAGGAGCTCCATTCTGCCAAGAGTTAGGCATCAAGCGCTAGCTTATACTGAGCTGTGACCTGTGTCTCCAGGTCCCACAAAGGGGACAAGAGCACAGCCCATGAACAATCGTTTCAGGTTGTGTTTGGCATCCCAGAAGGGAACACGAATTACTTGATCCCTCTCTCCTACGCAAGAACAAAACCACCCTGAGGATTCTCGTGTGCAGTGAGGATGCTGAAGCAAAGGCAACTGATTCGGCAGAGGGTACCTTCCTTCACCTACTACACAAGTCATTACAGGAGTCCTTAACACAAACTGCACTTCCAGGAGCACTGGAAAAGCAGAAGCTCTGGATGCCAGCAGAGAGGAATGCTCTATTATTTCTAATTTCCTGTATAAGGAGAGAAAGGATTTCCCACATACGAGCAGTGATGACCATCCTCTGGGAGCGCTTGGCGTACGCAGGAAGCGTTTCAACATTGAACCCTGAAACACAAAAGAGAAAACAGAAATCACACCAAGAGTTTATCCTGTCAAAAAATCCCTTCTCAGGCTTCACCAGAATTCTTCCACAGGCTCCAAATTACGTGAGAAAGAAAATCACACACTCTCTATATATCCATACTGCATCGGCAGCAGCGATATCTGAGTGCCCAGAAGAGTGGGCATCACATCACACACACACACACTCCAGAAACACAGGGGACAGATTTTCCTATACACACAGCACACCCAAATCTTCTATAATCAGGCAGCTGGAATTAGTGGGACCAGCCAACTACTCACCCATTTCCACTAGAGTAACCACTATATCAGAGAGCGTAGGCTGTGTTCTGGCTGTGTGTTCACAGTAGGACTTTGCACTCCTTCCAATTTCAGAAATATCTGGGAGGAGAAAAAGACACCACCAATATTTGATTCTGACGGTGACCACATATTTGTATCAGCCCAACCGTAGCTTCAGAGATGTGAATTTTTAGCAAATTTAGCCAGGAATGAAAAATAGCTCCTGGAATCCAGTGTCTTACAGCCTGTGTATTTAAAGCATGTGCAAAGTACAGAGACATTAAAGATCAAACTCAGATGTCTTCCACAAATGCAAAAGGTAAATCTACATCACAAGCATGAAAAAATAAAAAACTCGATCATCTACTGGTTTCAGAAAAATGTGTAACCTGAGATCCTAGGCACAGCACCCAGAAAAGCAGAAGAGCTGCCAAAAACGGGCTCTTCTACAGGCTTAACTAACCCAATGTCTGGAACTCTGTTATTTCTCTATTTATTCCGGCAGCATCTCAATACGTGGTGCTTATCAGGATACCTAATGAGTATCTAATGAGTACTCTCTGAGTAAGATATATAAGCATCTCTGAGTTTGGACAAACATCTCATGCTCACGGAAGTCTGTGACTCTAGGGCTGTGCTGTAGCCTTCCGCTTTTGCTAACATCATTAACACAAGATAACAAAAGTGGAAAAAAAAAACCCAAAAAAACAAAAAAAGAAAAAAAGAAAAGAAAAGGTGAAGGCCAACTTGACAACTGAGGAACAAGAAACTTCAGGGGACGAGCGTGAGTTTGCTGGACGCTCACAAAGCTGGATACTCACAGCTTTGTAACATCTCCGTCAGCGTCTCCACCGCCGCCTTCTCCGCGCTCTCGAACCCGGCTTCGGTGAGCAGGGAGCTGACCACCACCTGCAGAGTCCTCCTCCGAGCCAGGTAGTAGTTATCCGCAGGCGTAGTGGCATGTTTGCTGCCCGACCTCTGCGGACACAGACACCCCCCCAGCCCTGCAATGAGAGCTCAGGGAATCGAAGTTTCCAGAGCTCGGGGAGGGCAGCGAGGCCTGAGCTCTGCTGGCCCCAGGGGAAGGGCAAGGGCATCCCAGGCTGCGGGGCACTGCCCTGGGACGGGCCCTGGGACACAGCGGAGGATGGAAGGCAGGGGTGCCTGTCCCCCACTGCACGCATGCACATGTACATACGCATGTACACACACACATACATACATGTACGTATGCATACACACATATACACACACAGATCTACATATATACGTCTATATACATGCACACACATATATACATGTATACATACATACATACATACACACACACACACACACGGCGCTTCAGGCACCACCCAAGGCCGAACGTGCCTGTCCCCCACTGCACGCATGCACATGTACATAGGCATGTACATACACATACATACATGTACGTATGCATACACACATACACACACAGATCTACATATATACGTCTATATACATGCACACACATATATACATGTATACATACATACATGCACACATATATACATGTATACACACACATACACACACACACACACACACACACACACAC